CGGTGTGATTGCCACCGCTGAGGTCCCCTGACCCAGCCGAGCTGTCGCTACACGCTGGCAAAAGCCACAGAGCGCATTTTCCCAGCTGCAGGGAGATGCGCGGGGCCTCCCAGTCCCCCACCTCTACTCGTGTTGACCCCCGGCCGCTCACACCCCACGCTGGGCCCTGGGCCGCTGAGCAGCCGGCTCCGTCCCTGCCCTGGGGAGCTCACCGCCGAGAGAAGTGCCACTGAACAAGAGAAGGGTGGGAGCAGACCACTTCAAAGGAGAGATGTGGCCACGCGATCGCAGCAGCCATTGCACCCCCCGTGTGACACCACCGAGTGACTGGAAACACCGGAGGGAAAGTATTAATGCACGCAATACCTGGCATTGCAGCGTCAGCTTTGAAAGTGGAGGCGTTTCCTGACGGAGGAGCTAAACCCCGGCTGTCGACAAATGCCACCGATTCAGTTACACAATGAATGCCACTGATTCAGTTACATGGTGTCCGTCATCGTGCTCCCAGCAAGGGAGACCTGTCGGCACGAGGCAGGTTCGTGCTGTGGGGAGCCGCTGATGAGCGGTTCCTGAGCCTGTGTCTCACCGCAGTTTGCATCCACACTGCGAAGCTACCCAGGCGCTTCACCTACGCTAATGCTAAACTTGAGGTGACATCTTTTAGTCAGGCACAGTCTAAAATGCTTTTCCCCACAGTTGACAGAATGTCACAAGCACTCCAGCCCCTCAGGTTCAAGCGTCTCGGCTGATTGCACTTCCAAAGCATGTCCACTTTCTGGAGATAGCCCACAAGCTTCCAGAGCTTTTTCTCTGCCATTTTCTCTAGCAGTTTGCCTTAATCTCCCTCTTCTGCATTTTTACCAGAGCAGCCTTAAATTTGTAGAGCTATGAAAAAATGGAGGTGGTGTTATAAACTAGGCTGCTGCCGAAACGTGTGCCAGACAGTCTTGCCACCGTGAGTGGCAGATAACTCAAGTGACTGGCTGGCAGTAGATCGGCTTTTTCCAGTGCCACGCTCTTCAACGTTAGTTCAGAGCCAGGCGACCGTGCTCCAGAACAGCAGAAAGTGCTGGGACAGGCGATACTCCGAAACGTGTCCGGTGTGGCTGTACCTCCCATGGGACCGGCAAGGACCCGCTGCACCGCAGCCGGGGCAGGCAGCATGGCAAGTGAAGACCTTGGGGAGACTTTTCAGTGCGTTTCAGGCACGGGCTGACATTCTGTGAACTGTGACATTTCCATTTAATCAGAAGAAATGAATGTAAATGAGGGATTATTCACCAAACTATTCACTGTTAGCAAGTGTCAGCAGTAGCAGGGAGAAGAGATGAAAAGATGTTGGCAGCTTACACTTCCTGTGTGCTGCTTACTTAGGAATGGATGTCCCTTAGGAAGACAGACTGTTGGCCCACTCGAAGGGCTGCAGCCCTTTTTATCTTGTTCCCTTCCCAAGCCTCTTCCTTCTGTGACTATGTGCTTTTTTTCCTTGCAGTTTCTCACAGCTGTTGGTTGACGCACACTTAACTTGTGAATGATCTTAAGTGATTTTTAATCTATATTTAAACTAAGTGATTAAGCAAACAAACAGGGCAGCTCCCACGGGTTCGTTTCTGAGGTCTTGCCTTGCTCCTGACAGCTAACAGAAGAGGCAGGTTTAGTTTCACAGTGCACCGAGGGGGTCACACATTTCGGTTTTGCAAGACTTTTGTACGGTTTTGTTTTTTGCAGTGAAAGTCTGTCCCATTCCTAGAGCTGCTGAACTGGCAGCAGCAGGGACAGGCTCTGCACGCGTGGCAGGTACGGCAGGCGAGCCCCATTGCACGCTGCCTCTGTGACGCGCTCCTCTGCCACGACCAGCTCCCTGGCTGGGTGGGAAACACGCAGTCTGCAAGGCGCTGTTTGGCCTCTCTCCCAGGAATTATAATTAGTACCAATTATGACAGTATTCCTCATGATGTGAATTCCCATCCACTGGGAATTAAGGGCAGCAGATCAAACTCTTTTCAGGCAGACCAAATACAGATTTCAGGTACTGTTAGCACTCGGCCGTTATCCAGCTGGGCTGCACTGTCACCCATAGCTTCTAAAATTATGCAGAAAAGCTGCTCCATTAAAGTACACCATAATTTACAGTGGAAATTCAATTTATATATTTAGGTAGTGTGTGTCACCACTGAACAAACTTTATACATCTGTACAAAGTCCTACCGTTAAAAAAGCACAGTTATTTAGAGGAAGACAACTCCTCTTCTGCCCGTTTCTATTAATTATAGCCACCTTTCTCACCGGAGCTGTAGCAGCAGAAGTCCGTCTATGGACTAAGTTAAAAACAATAACTAAGCCAGTTTGGATGAGGATGAAACCAGGGCTTGTCTCTTGCAGTGGGGGCAAAGCAATGGACCAGCTCAAACTGTTCCATATAATCTCCCCTTTGAAGTGCAGTGTTACAATATTGAGAAATTGTGATGCCGGGATTTTTTGCAGCTGGTGGCCCTGACTTTCACTGCCTCCCGAGCACTACTGCGCCTCCAACAACCTCATATTCTGCCTCTAGGGTGGATCTCATTTTTAACTTCGTAATTATGTGTGGTCACAGACCAATGTGCCTGAAAGTCACACAGTGGGAGCCACTATCACAGTCTTCTGCGAAGCCTACCAAACTACTCACATTGCTTCAGAAAAAGCATTGCATGTTGTGGGAGCTGGCAGACCTCAGTTTTAAAAATAGCAGGGCTCCCTGCTCACCGAGAGAGAAAAAATTGTCAGCCACTTTTAACACGGTAAGGAGCAAACCTGGCCTTCAGCTTTACCTGCGTTCATACAAGTGGGCTGCGTATGCCCATACACTCCCTTTGCAAACGATGCCCTTGGATCACATTTCTGAATCCTTTCACAGTGAGGGAACGTGAAACAACAAGAAACGGCGGGATGATGAGAACAGGCGACAAAGTCACCACGCACCGGGGCAGGCGGGTGGGGATCTAGACTGAGAGAGGGGCTAAACTGGAGTGCAGGTGCCAGAGCAAAGCGGATCCCGTGATGCCAAGAGATACGCTGAAGAAGTCAAGATACCGCCTGGCCATTCGCCTTCATAATCGCAAGCAAGGAGACACCCAGTGCTGAGTCACCGGCGTTTTGTCATGCACCTGAGTGTGCATCCTCCCTGGGAAAAATCAAGCCTAATTACCATTTAAAAGAAGTGGCAGACAAAAGGGTGAAGACAAGAGCCTGAGTCTGGTTTTCCCTTGTGGTGTACCTCGTCTAGTCACTGCAACCTGCAGGAAGTGATGTCACATGCTTCTTCGTATCATTTTCTATCAGCATTGCAGAGGCAGAAATAGCCACAATGCACAATTCAGTGGAAAATCAGGCCTCGACTATCCGCAGAAAAATTACTACAGGTGAAATCAAAGGAAGAAAGATCCTAGTATTTGCTTTCCCATAGAGAGCTCTGGATTGATAGGAGCTCCATAGTTTCTGAGACCATAGCGATAAAAACACGATTCTATAGCAGCTAATGGGTATTTCTGGTGTGCACGGGAGATTTGTGGTTTCGAAATGCCTTTTAGGAAAATAAAAAGAGGAGAGAAACAACACGAGAATACAGCTCCCACTGTCCTGGCCTCTGAACTATTCTATTGCTCCTTGGAAATAAAAGTAATGCTATGGGGGATGCACAGAGATGTCCTGGTTCATCTGGTCACTGCCACTCTAGTTAAATGCACAGAATCATAGAATCACAGAATCACAGAATGGTAGGGGTTGGAAGGGACCTCTGTGGGTCATCTAGTCCAACCCCCCTGCTGAAGCAGGGTCACCTACAGCAGGCTGCACAGGACCTTGTCCAGGCTATGCAGAGGCAAAGAGCTACAACAACAACATTATACTACACATTAAGATTACAGAATAATAAATTTACATAAAATGTCCATGCCACTAGCTTCAGAAATATTTTCTTAAATGTTCCAAGGAAAGATAAGGACCTATATTGTAGTCAGCTCCTTTCTCAAAGACAAATTCATCTCCTATCTCCCTTGCATAGGAACAAGTCCTAACTCTCAGATGTTCTATAAATGATTTAGAAGTATGTTGCCATCTGCTGGAGAAAGTACATCTTTTAATAAATCAACTGATAATCGTGAAAAAGTGGGCAAGGTTTAAAGCACTCAAAGGCCATTCTTTAAATCTGAAACAGAAACAGCAAACTTCAGACTAAGGATAGGTTGGGAGACAATGGTCTGAGCTTAATTTAATTATGTCAATCCATTAGACACTTTACGTGAAAAGAGGAGTGAACGCTTTACGGGAAGAGGTGAGGAAATTAGCAAGAGGAAGGTGATAAGGTTCCTATCCCCCATGTGAAACAGGGAAAGGCAGGCAGTTAACACCAGTGAGGGGCTGGGTTGAAGAGGGCTTGCTAGGAAAACCCTAAAATGCTGTAAGACCGCTGTCTCTGCCAAGTTATCAGTTTCAGATCTTAAGCTTATCGATTATAGATCTTCCTTGAGGATCGAACTGAGGGATTAGCCACAGGGGGCTGGTGATGGGAAAAAGGTTTTCTCACTGTAAAAGCATGTTTCTGTCCTTTCTCTCTGGTGCTTGTATGTTCATTCTAGGACTGACAAGTTACACCTGTAGAGTTTCCATGAGGGCACTCGGTGTGCGCACTGCAGGGCAGCATGCTCTGGAGCGCACGTGTAGCATCAACAGATCTTGATAGTTCACTTGTGGGAAAACTTCCTCAGGTGTCAGAGGAGCTGTGGTAAGCAGGTCCACGATTGCTGCTGTGGCATGGTACGCTTCCACTCCGAGTTTGCTGGTCTGCAGGAAGTCTGCTTCTGACAATGAGTCTGGAGAGCTTGGGAGGCTGGTTAGTGGTTAGGAGGCGGGCTCTGGCAAACTCCTTTCGAGCTTTGATCTCTGCCAGTGTAAATAATAATTGTTGTATGGCTTCACATGTAGGTTCCAGTTCAGGTTCTCACGGGTACACAGCCACAGCACTTTCTTTTACTGTAGTCAATGTGTACATAGAATTCAAGGGGTCACTTAAAGACACTGTCGGTGTCACTGAGGAAGTGTCACTCTTGGGAGGTCTCTTGATTGGGTGGGGGACATCGGTATCTACAGCACTCTTCTCAAAGCAGGTACAGGGGTGTCTGAGAGCCTGGCTGTATACTACACCTTTGTTGGTACCTCACAGAGGCTCTCATGTTTGGGAAATACACCTGTTTGCCTATGGCTTTTATGAATGCAGTGTATTTTTTATGTTGATCACAGTGAATGAATATTCTATATACAGTGAGGTGGACTGATGATCAGTACCACATCTGTAGTGGAAATCTGTGAGGAAGTCCAGGGTTTAATTCAAATTAT